GAGCTAGTGGCTTATCTGTATAAAAAAGTATGGTGGAATAATCTGGTTTGAAACTACAGCAACAGTCATATCCATCCATCGTCAACTGCTTGTCCTGCGTACAGGGTTGCGGGGCAACAGTCATAGTTGTTGCATAATATAAACTATATTGCTCAAAAGAATGAAGGGAAGACTTAAATCATACATCAGATCTTTATGCACGAAATAGTTCAAATTTCAAGATCCGAACTGTACATTGTATAATTTGTTGAGAACAAAATGACATAACAACGGTTAATGGAAACCAAAATCACCAATTGACTGAGGGCTGGATTCAAAATCACACAGAAAAACTTGTGTGATTTTCATCACAGCAACTCATAATGTGACTCAACATTGTATTCGGGCCCTCATGACTGTATGTGCTCCCGAGAATGTCTGTGCATGCTCCTGATGAGAAGGCATATGTTGTCATGGGGGATCTCCTCTCAGACATGGATCAGGGCATCAGTGAGCTCCTGGACAGTCTGTGGCTCTATTTGGTGACGGAAGCAGTGATACATAACGTCTCTGATGTCCTAAATTGGATTTAGGTCTGGGTACTGTGAGGGCCAGTCAGTGGTATCAATGCCTTTGTCATCCAGGAACTGCCTACACAATCTGGCCACTTGAGGCCAGACATTGTCCTGCCCAGAGCCCATTGCATCACACAGCCAGGTTCATCCTTGTCATAATTAAGTTTGCAGATGGCTCTGTGATTGTTAGCCTCCTGCAGGACCATGAGATGGGTGATGGACCAGTCCTGGACAATTTGATCAAATGGTGTAATGACTCATACTTGCAACTCAATGTCTTGTTCGCCGAAACCCTCCAGTCACAGCACAGACATTTATCAATGGCAGAGCCGTAGAGACAGTAAGCCAATATAGGTACTTGGGCACCCTTCTGGATGATAAATTGATTTTGATGCCAACACTGTCTCCATCTGTAAAAAGTTCAAGTTTATTTATATAGCACATTTAAAAACAACACTAGTTGACCAAAGTGCTTTCCACATTAGACAACAAATATACATGACAACAGTAGAAAAAGTAAAAAATAAAATAAATGTCACTACTCAACTCTGTTTGAAGGCCAATGAATAAAGATAGGTCTTTAGCAAGGATTTGAAAGTGTCAGGAGTTTGGGCATTTCTTATTTGAACAGGTAAAGTATTCCAAAGATTAGGAGCAGCTACTGAGAAGGCTCGGTCACCTTTAGCTTTTAAAACTTTAAAAAAGGCCAACCAGAGATTGTTTTTCTTGAGGAAGTTGATGGGTTTTGACAGATCACTTTTGAAAATGTTTTATTCATCTTTTATTGAGTCAATTTTAACTTTTGCAATGATGGTTTGGAAATCTCAGCATGGTTAACAAATACAGGCTGAGAAGGATTGTTAAAATTTGCCAAAAGACCATTGGCACTAACTTGAATGATCTTAACCATGTTTATAAAGAGAGCGCCAATCGAAAAGCGAAGGCCAACTTGGTGGACCCTCGACACCCTCTTCTTGCAGAGTTTCAACTTCTACCATCACGGAGGAGGTACACTTTCCCTAGGAGGGCCAAATCAAATAGATTTTTGACATCATTTGTTTTGTCAGCTGTTGGGTTTTTAAACAAACTGTTGGCCTAGTTGCTGTTGCACATATATTGTAAGAGTTATGGATACATAGTGCTATATATTTCATGGTAGCTTTACTGTATGTTGATAACACCTATTGTATGTTATATGTTCTTATGTCTTCTCTTATTTGGTTAATGTGTATTGACTATGTTGCAAAACAAATTGCCCCTCGGGGACAATAAAGGCTATAAAATCAAATCAAATCAAATCTCTAGGTAAGTCTGCTGTGCAGTTTGCTAATTTTGTGTTAGCTGTGGTAAGTTTGCAATACTTTAGGCTAATTCCAGTTGTAGTGTGAATGACCAGTTATTGTTAAATGCATAAAATCTCTGGTCTTGAACTTAATGATGATTGTTACGTAACGTGGGCTAACATTAACTTACACAGATGACAAGAATGAACCTGCCTGAATCACAAGTATTGAGTTAAATTAAGATTGTCTACTTTATATTTCAGCTGCTGGTTGAAACCAGGTACAGTCCTTCTCCTTCTTGTCTTCTACAGATGATGCTGGATACTGCAGTGGATATTCTGTCAACTCATGGGAGGCAATGTCGCTACCACCTCCTGCTGGTGTAGCTAGTAAACTGCTCGCACGCTTACAGATCTCTGTGGTACACTTTGGATAAAATTCCACAAATGCGTAAAAAGGAAGTTACAAATGTAACGTGACGTGCAAATTGACAGGAAATGATCCACAAATGTGCCAAAACTGTTTTGTGTGTAAAAATAGATTTATTTATTACAAAGTGTTATTTACACAAATGCGTTAATAACACTTTGTATGCGAAATTAAAATAGTGTACAGAGTAAATTGTACATATTTGCAAATGACATTGTATTTTTGTGGATATGATTTTACACAACACATATGTAAAAATACATGTTTTGGGTAGTGAGATATTTGTGTGTATTTTTTTTTACGGATCTCCGCAGTACACATTGGACGAAATTCCAGTAAAAAAGGAAGTTACAAATGTAACATGACTCACAAATTCACACAAAGCAATGCCAGTAGTGACAAGGACACAAGATACAAGGTACAAGGTTGTTTATTTGTCATTATACAGCACAAGGCTGCATAACAAAACGAAATTTGTTGTCTATCTCATATAATTAAGGGTATATTAAAATATGTCACATATAATAAAAAATAAAAGGAACACTAAAATAAAATATCCTAGAATAATCTCATTAAATACTCGTTTCTTTACATAGTTGAATGTGCTGACAACAAAATCACACAAAAATTATCAATGGAAATCAAATTTATCAACCCATGGAGGTCTGGATTTGGAGTCACACTCAAAATCAAAGTGGAAAACCAAACTACAGGCCGATCCAACTTTGATGTAATGTCCTTAAAACAAGTCACAATGAGGCTCAGTAGTGTGTGTGGTGGTGCATGAGGTGGCGGATGGTCTCCTGAGGGATCTCCTCCTAGACCTGGACTAAAGCATCCGCCAACTCCTGGACAGTCTGTGGTGCAACGTGGCGTTAGTGGATGGAGCGAGACATGATGTCCCAGATGTGCTCCATTGGATTCAGGTCTTGGGAACGGGCGGGCCGGTCCATAGCATCAATGCCTTCCTCTTGCAGGAACTGCTGACACACTCCAGCCACATGAGGTCTAGCATCATCTTGCATTAGGAGGAACCCAGGGCCAACAGCACCAGCTTATGGTCTCACAAGGGGTCTGAGGATCTCATCTCGGTACCTAATGGCAGTCAGGCTAGCTCTGGCGAGCACACGGAGGGCTGTGCGGCCCCCCAAAGAAATGCCACCCCACACCATTACCGACCCACCGCCAAACCAGTCATGCTGGAGGATGTTGCAGGCAGCAGAACGTTCTCCACGGCGTCTCCAGACTCTGTCACGTCTGTCACATGTGCTCAGTGTGAACCTGCTTTCATCTGTGAAGAGCACAGGGCGCCAGTGGCGAATTTGCCAGTCTTGGTGTTCTCTGGCAAATGCCAAACGTCCTGCACGGTGTTGGGCTGAAAGCACAACCCCCACCTGTGGACGTCGGGCCCTCATACCACCCTAATGGAGTCTGTTTCTGAACGTTTGAGCAGACACATGCACATTTGTGGCCTGCTGGAGGTCATTTTGCAGGGCTCTGGCAGTGCTCCTCCTGCTCCTCCTTGCACAAAGGCGGAGGTACTGGTCCTGCTGCTGGGTTGTTGCCCTCCTACGGCCTCCTCCACGTCTCCTGATGTACTGGCCTGTCTCCTGGTAGCGCCTCCATGCTCTGGACACTACGCTGACAGACACAGCAAACCTTCTTGCCACAGCTCGCATTGATGTGCCATCCTGGATGAGCTGCACTACCTGAACCACTTGTGTGGGTTGTAGACAGTTTTGAGCAGTGTATATAGCCTACTCTTAGTATGAAGGCTAATATAATATAAATATTATGTCAAATGATGGCAGACCTGAATAGCTCTGACTGTCCTGAAAAAAACAACATATAGCATGTATGGCTTCACACAAATCTACTGTGCAGATACTGTAGGATGATACTGGCAAAAATGGTTTTTTTTCTCCCAATAAATTAATAAAGCAACTCATTTCAAATGGTTATCATGTTTTAAATTACTTATATGCACCCTGCAAATAAACTGGTACCAAAGAGATTACGGCTTAGCCCACGGACCATATGATTCGCTAGCCCTATGTAGGAGTCCATCTGAGTTTCTCTCAGATAGGTGCTGGCGAGGCCGGGAGCATCAGAACTGGACCACAGACCAATAGAAGAAGGTGGCCTGCTCTGATGAATCACATTTTCTTTTACATCACGTGGATGGTTGTGCTGTGCGTCGCTTACCATGACAACAGGATGCACTATGGAAAGAAGGCAAGCCGGTGGAGGTTACAACCAATGTACAATGGACTGCAACCTTAGCATTGTTGCGGTAAGGAACACGAGTTCAAAATAGCTACCGCTACTAATATTGTTAAATTTAAATCATGTACAGAATGTTACACACGTGGGAAATGTTAGCATATTTGTCGTTTTAAAGGTATGATACGCAGAGATGGGGACTCTGAGTGTGAGTCGCACACACACTGACTTCAGACTCAACTTGAGACTCGTCCTCAAAAGACTTGAGACTTGACTCGAACTGCGGGACTCGTGAACAATGTTTATTTTTAGGAAACGTCTGATGAGCTTGCTGTTATTCCCCTCATTGCGTTACCAATAACCTGCCTACGTAACACGTAGTATCAGCTGCACGCGGCCACATCTAGCCCAGTTAAAAATGCATAAATACAGTAAATTGTTTTGTGTGTTACATAAATAAATAAATTAGATGTGTTTAAGAGAGTAAAAGGTTAAAAATATATTTCTCTTAGTGTGGTAAAAAGTCAAGTTCATGGGTAAAAATGTTTTAAAATATTAACTGTTAAAATGCATTTCATATGTATTTTATTTCATATATGTTGTTAAAGGGCTGTTTAATTTGATTGTGGTGTTTTGCTAGAGAAGTGTATCTAGTTACACGGGCTGTGGCTTGTGAATTGGCTAACATACGTGGGAGGAGGAGGAGGAGAAGGGACGTAAAAAAGAGAGGTGGGAGAATGAAAAGGGAGTGATCCGAGTGTTAACGAGCTAATGAGGTAGTTTTGGGTGAACTTTTGCCGTTTTGGAGAGGAGTTGCGTTAGGTGTGCCTTGGATTGTCGGCCAGATAATCGAGCGGGCCGCAAGAAGACGTTTTCGTGAGTTAGAAGACGTCTGTCCGACGTTTGCTGTGCTGTAACCAGTGAGACTGCTCGTTAACAGTGGGAGTGTCACTAGCCGTGTGGACAGACTGTGAGCCGCGCTAGCTAACCCAGCTATACAAAAGCTTCGTCTGGACTGTTTCCGACCTGGAGACGAGGCTTAACTACCAAGCTCCGTGAGTGTGCCCACGTGCGTCGTCCTGCTCAATTCATTGGCCAGCCGACTGGTTGCTTCTTCTGAAAGACACCATTATTCTCAACGAATAGGAACTGTCCTATTTAAGTTGCTTCTTGCTCCAGTGTGTGTGAAGTTTTGGTTTCAACGAACAAAAGCATCGAATCAGGCCTGCAACGATTTTCATTTGGGTTTATTATTTTGCGGCTTAGCATAGAGTGCTTAATAGTGGGTGTAAAGTGTTATGACCACTGATGTTTAATTAAGTTGGTCTGATAATAACAACGTTAGGAAAAGTGCAGTTTACTGTGTTGGAAAGAGAATTGTCATATTAAGCTGACACCTGTTGGAACTAAACAACATGTTTAGTTCATCATTGGCCATCTAACGTTAGCTTGCTTCTTGCTTTAGTTACGACCTATGGGAGGTTTACTCCGACTGTCGTTCGTTATGAAAAGATGAATGAGCGTTTGTTTGTTTGCCAAACTTGTGGTAGTCGATTAACGTAATTATTTACGTCCTGCCAGCTGCCATCACTTTAATTATTACCGTTGGCTGGAAAGAGGTTACAGGTTTATTGTTGATCATGTAACGTTACAGTTTTATTTAGTTAACTTTACACTGGGTTTGACAATCAACAGCGTTTGTTGACTTACAGTAGTTCAAGCTGTCGTTAACTGCATTGCACAGGTTGTGCTCTGTGAGTTAAAAACAGGTTACAGCTTTATTGCCGACCATGGAATTTCAGTTTAATTTAGTTAACTTTACACTGGGTTTGAGAGTCAACAGGGTTTGTTGAGTTACAGTAGTTTATAAGCTTTAATTAACTGTAGACGCATTGTACATTAGGCTGCATGGTTGTGCTCTGTAAGTTAAAAACAGACAGATTTATTGTTGATTATGCAACGTCACAGTTTTATTTAGTTAACTTTACACTGGTTTGAGAGTCTGGGGGATGTGTTGACTTACAGTAGTTTATAAGCTTTCATTAATTGTAGACGCATTGTACATTAAGCTACATGGTTGTGCTCTGTAAGTTAAAAACAGGTTACAGGTTTGTTGTTGATTATACAACGTCACAGTTTTATTTAGTTAACGTTACACTGGGTTTAAGAGTCTGGGGAGTGAGTTGACTTCCAGTAGTTAATAAGCTGTCATTAATTGCATTGCACATTACATGGTTGGGTTCTGTAAGTGAAAAACAGGTTACAGTTACAGAAGTCGTTATAGCCATGCAGTTTTATAAGCAGCCTGGATTGAACGCAGCAGGTGATACAACATTTGTAATAACCACAAGAGACTTGAGACTTGACTTGGACTCTTAAATTTACATTTACTCATTTGGCAGATGCTTTTATCCAAAGCAACTAACATTTGAGAAACAACATACTAGCAACAAATCAATGGCAAAATCACTGTGTCTACAGAACGTTTTTATTATTATTATTTTATCATTTCTGCATGTGTTCCCTGTTTTTATTTTGTATTTTTTGCATGTGTTTCCTATCCTGACAGCTGAGCCGACCTAAGAGTGGAGCCTGCCCAGGAAGCGACTACACAGTGGAGGACTGTAGGCAGGTTTTGGTTTTGGCGGCAAAAGAGAGACCTACACAATATTAAGTAGGTGGTCTTAATGGCAGAGGCTACTATGCAAGGTGCCAACTGCTAGCAGAAACCTTATTCATTCACATATGCTCACAGAACAGCAATTTGTTGTTCAGTATCTTGCTTAAGGACACTTTGACAAGCCAGCTGTCTGGAGGATCAAACCACCAACCTTCTGATTAGTGGAGAACACAGCTCACAAATCTGCCATTACAATCTGTGCTGCATACAACACTCTATCCTGTCCTTAGACCCTAGAATCTACAGGACATGTGGACAGATAATAAACCTGTAAAACAGGAGAAATGATGAAGCAGATTAAACTATGTTAAACCAAAAATGTGACCATACATTTTGTGTGGGTCGTAAATCCAATTAGGAAAAACTTCCCAAGAACCTCTTAAAAAACACAAAACCTCAGGAAGAGCAACAGAGGAGGGACAAAGAGACATGCTAGAGATGTCATGTGTATGGATTAGACATATGAGCAAATATATGTTGAGTGTTATGAATCCAGAAGAATGTCAAGCAGCTTCCAGGTGCCACTAAACAGCCACACAACCTACTCTCCACAATGGAGAGTTGGAAAGAGGACAGACAGAAACACAGAAACGTCAAATTAGCACATCATTCACAAAGAGGGAGAAGAGACAAGGACACCATTCATACAAGGGGAGAAAAAGAGACAAGAGGTGAGGCTGGGTCTCCTGGAGGACAACATCCAGATCCCAAACGTGCTAAGTTTGTCCTGGACGGTGCTATGGGAAAAGGTGCTATAAGTCAGGGGGTCTCAATAAATCGTGTTGCCTCCTAAATGTTGTAACATATGTAATGTATATGTGAACCTTGAGGTCAGTGCAGTAAAGCTTTTACAAGATTTAGTAGGGGTGTTACTCTGTAAGGTGTAGCCTATGTATTTCTTATTTAACAGAGTTAAAATGAAAATCACAAAACAATAACTGTGGAGGGACATAAAAGACCATTTGTGTAATAAAACATTAAGGTTGCAGGTTGTACTACTAATCATGTCCTTGATTAATCCAACACAAAAAATAATACATTTAAACAAGTGGATATTGATGACAATTTAACATTCAAACACTGTAATTTGAATTGACCCTGAGATAATTCACATTACATTTTTGTACTGCTTTTTATTGCTTACAACATTAGAAGGAAGCAGACTGAAACAATAACTTGTTGGTTTCTGGCCAGTGAACAGCTGATTTATTTTAATCTTATCTTCAGTGAAGAAATCAGAAAACATTGCGAAACTGGATTTCCATAGAAAAATATACTGCAGGAGGAACATTTCAGCAAAACTGCATTGTGTGAGAGAAATTATGCATTAGATAAGGTTTAGTGGTTTATTGCCTCCTCCTGAACGACAAAGAGATCAGAGGTCTGCTGTATGCAAATGACTTAGTGTTGCTCTCACCTACCAAAGAAGGTTTGCAACAGAGATTCTGTCAGACCTGGGCCCTGACAGTAAACACAGCAAAGACTAAGATAATGATCTTTCAGAAACAATACAGAAATCAGGTTACACAATTTCTATTTAGACACCACTAAATTACAACAAACAAAAAACTACACTTACCTTGGCCTCAACATTACATACACAGGGAATGTGGCTGTGAAAGATCTGAGGGACAAAGCAATAAAAAAGAAAAAGAAAAAGAAACATTAAAATATATATTTCAATCAAAATCTGGGTTAAAATTTTCCAATTTGTACTAGAACCAATAATACTATATGGCAAGCAGAAAGAAAAATATATAGATTACTGGAAAGAAACAACCAAAACACAAAGTAAATTACAATGTTATCTGACCCTAAAAAGAGAATTCACACTGGCAAATTACCTGAGTACAATAGAATGTCCTAAACTAAGAGAAATGTTGACAACATACAGACTGAGTGAACACAGCCTGGCCATAGAAAAAGGGTCGCCACAGACAGAGCTGGCTACCACAAGAGGGAAGACTCTGCTCCCAGTGTGACAGAGGACAGGTAGAGACAGAGCTGCACTTTCTAACCTCATGACCCAAATATAAAACACTAAAACAAAAACACTTTGCAAACATTTACCAAATATACCCCAAATTCGAATTCATATCAGACACACAGAAACTCCCCTATTTACTGGGAGAAATGCCCAAATGTGAAATAATTGCTGCAAAATATGTCTCCTCATGCCATGAAGTGAGGACAACCAGTGGAACCTCAGACTGATAAATAATTGTACAGATTTTCAAATTATTATTTTGATCGTTTGATATTTTATTAGTTGTTTTGTTTTTACATTTGATACTGATTTCTTTTTTTTAATCAATTAATTCTTTTAAAAAAAATGTATCTATTAATATACACACACACATTACTGTTTCATTTATTTATTTTATTTTAATTTTATAATATATTTTAATTTTTTAAAAACACACTGTTTTATTTATTTATTTATTTTTAATATATTTTTATTTTTTTAACACACACACACACACACACACACATATACAGTGGGTACGGAAAGTATTCAGACCCCTTTAAATTTTTCACTCTTTGTTTCATTGCAGCCATTTTCCAAAAATCAAAAAAGTTCATTTTATTTCTCAGTAATGTACACTCAGCACCCCATCTTGACAGAAAAAAAACAGAAATGTAGAAATTTTTGCAAATTTATTAAAAAAGAAAAACTGAAATATCACATGGTCATAAGTATTCAGACCCTTTGCTCAGTATTTAGTAGAAGCACCCTTTTGATCTAATACAGCCATGAGTCGTTTTGGGAAAGATGCAAAAAGTTTTTCACATCTGGATTTGGGTATCCTCTGCCATTCCTCCTTGCAGATCCTCTCCAGTTCTGTCAGGTTGGATGGTAAACGTTGGTGGACAGCCATTTTCAGGTCTCTCCAGAGATGCTCAATTGGGTTTAAGTCAGGGCTCTGGCTGGGCCATTCAAGAACAGCCACGGAGTTGTTGTGAAGCCACTCCTTCGTTATTTTAGCGGTGTGCTTAGGGTCATTGTCTTGATGGAAGGTAAACCTTCGGCCCAGTCTGAGGTCCAGAGCACTCTGGAAAAGGTTTTCGTCCAGGATATCCCTGTTCTTGGCCGCATTCATCTTTCCCTCGATTGCAACCAGTCGTCCTGTCCCTGCAGCTGAAAAAACCCCCACAGCATGATGCTGCCACCACCATGCTTCACTGTTGAGACTGTATTGGACAGGTGATGAGCAGTGCCTGGTTTTCTCCACACATACCGCTTAGAATTAAGGCCAAAAAGTTCTATCTTGGTCTCATCAGACCAGAGGATCTTATTTATCACCATCTTGGAGTCCTTCAGGTTTTTTTTAGCAAACTCCATGTGGGCTTTCATGTGTCTTGCACTGAGGAGAGGCTTCCGTCGGGCCACTCTGCCATAAAGCCCCGACTGGTGGATTGCTGCAGTGATGTTTCACTTACTACAACTTTCTCCCATCTCCCGACTGCATCTCTGGAGCTCAGCCACAGTGACCTTTGGGTTCTTCTTTACCTCTCTCACCAAGGCTCTTCTCCCCCGATAGCTCAGTTTCAGCTCTAGGAAGGGTTCTGGTCGTCCCAAACGTCTTCCATTTGAGGATTATGGAGGCCACTGTGCTCTTAGGAACCTTAAGTGCGGCAGTAACCTTAGCCAGATCTGTGCCTTGCCACAATTCTGTCTCTGAGCTCTTCAGGCAGTTCCTTTGACCTCATGATTCTCATTTGCTCTGACATGCACTGTGAGCTGTAAGGTCTTATATAGACAGGTGTGTGGTTTTCCTAATCAAGTCCAATCAGTATAATCAAACACAGCTGGACTCAAATGAAGGTGTAGAACCATCTCAAGGATGATCAGAAGAAATAGACAGCACCTGAGTTAAATATGAGTGTCACGGCAAAGGGTCTGAATACTTATGACCATGTGATATTTCAGTTTTTCTTTTTTAATAAATTTGCAAAAATTTCTACATTTCTGTTTTTTTTCTGTCAAGATGGGGTGCTGAGTGTACATTACTGAGAAATAAAATGAACTTTTTTGATTTTTGGAAAATGGCTGCAATGAAACAAAGAGTGAAAAATTTAAAGGGGTCTGAATACTTTCCATACCCATTGTATATATATTTTTTTAACACAAACACACATACGCTTTGATTACTTGTTTAATGAAATGTATTGGGTTGATTTTTCTTATGTAGTTTGTATGATGCTTTGGCAATATTGTTGTTAGACATTCATGCCAATAAAGCTAATTTGAATTTGAATTTAGTGCTACAATAGCCAAATTTCCCCCCCCTTCTGGATGGTCTGTTACGTGCTTTTGACATGTTTTTCCAGTTGAATGAGAACACATACAGAGGCAGGTGAATTGTCACCACTTCATGTAAATTAACACACTCAACACTTGAATAATTACAAATACTGCTACAATGATGGGTTACATTATATTAGAGAGTAAGCTCCATTTCTCAGATTTAAAAGAGATATGGCTATCAGCACTTTGATGTGTGATCAGGCAACTGCCCAACCTATTGCATGTACTCGTGAGGCCCTGTCTTCTTCTTCTGTGTATTTCAGATGATATCGTGATATGCATATTCCAAAATAACTATATTTCATCAAATTATCACAAACTCACTGACACATAGCAAACCTGGGTTGCAGGAGAACTGTTTGGCTTCTGGGGCTTTGGGCAAAGTATAGCTTCCATGTGTAGTCTGCTGCGTGCACTGTACTTCATGGGTAGTAAAGACAAGTAGTGGCGGCAACCAGGGACTCACTAGGCACAGTGAATTTTGCCCCAGGACAACAGATAACAGGGCTCCAAAGATGCCATTTGATCTACAGGATGCTCTAAATTCAGGATCATTGGTGAAACAGGGAAGTCTGAAACTAGCATCATACAACATATACCATATAACATAAAACAAACACAACAGTAGCGACAAACAAGAACAGCAGTCACAGAATGCCCAAAAGTGCAAACAGCTAAATAATAAATATTCATGCACTAAAAATATTTTAAATATAATTTTAATTTGATGATAACAAAATTATTACATTATTATTATCACATTTTATACATAAAGATTTATTTTATAGATTACATCCCAAGACAAAATATTATAAAATAATATAAAACATGGCCCTTCACTACATCCTACAGCACCTGGACTCCCCAGGAACCTATGCCAGGATGCTGTTTGTGGATTTCAGCTCTTTTACACCTTCATCCTGGCCCTGCTGCGGGACAAGCTCTCCCAGCTGAACGTGCCTGACTCCACCTGCAGGTGGATCACTGAATTCCTGACGGACAGGAAGCAGCATGTGAAGCTGGGAAAACATCTCTCTGATTACAGTCCAGAACCATCAGCATCGGTTCCCCCCAAGGCTGCATTCTTCCCCCCTTCTCTTCTCCCTGTACACCAACAGCTGCACCTCCAGTCACCAGTCTGTCAAGCTCCTGAAGTTTGCGGACGACACCACCCTTATTGGGCTCATCTCAGGTGGGGATGAGTTGCACATATTTGTTGTTGATTGTTGATTTTTGTTGTTGTATATTTTTATGTTGTCAGTTTATATATTTATATGTACACAATATTCTCTTCCGTTGCGTTACTTCTGCACGGCACAGACCCAGAATAATGCACATGTAAATATCTGCAACGTTCTTCCATTCCATATTTATATATACATTTATTTATGTTGACTGTATGTTTGTCTACGTGTAGCACCTTATCACCACGGCAAATTCCGCGTATGTGTGAAACACTACTTGGCAATAAAGCTCCTTCTGATTCTGATTCTGATATTACAGCTTTCCAATGAGCCCTGCAGGCTCTTTGCCGATGGCCTCTCCCGGCTTCCGTTTTTTTTTTTTTACCCGGAAAAAGATCTTGCTCGTGTGACGTTCTAAGGTGCCATAGAAATGGCGGAGTCGGAGGAGGAGGTGGACGTCTTAGTCCAGAGAGTTGTCAAAGACATCACTAACGCCTTCAAGA